ACGACGCTCTTCCGATCTCCCCAAAACCCCAAAACCCCTTAATTCTGGTATAAAAGCAAAGTAAATTTGAAAACTTATAATCTAAAATTATCAAATGAGTATGATCAAGAACTAAGCAACAACTCATGAATTTTGTGACTGCACAATCGGTAAATGGGAGCCTCTAGAGAATCTTCATCTTGAGCTTAATGACATTTCTTTGAACTTTAAGAATCTTCCACATGTTACTAGCAATTTCATAAGGGATGGATACCTTTACCTGCTTGTAAAGGATCTATTCAACCATCAGAAATCAGTACCAATTTTCAGTGAGTTTATGCACATACTCTTTCACATGGAGAGTTTCTAGTTTCAAGACTAACTCAATGGAGATTTTCTCATGAGATTCAATCCTGGATATGTTAACATACCAGTGGCATTGAAAATCCAAGGAAACCAGATCTCAGTAGCTGAGTTTTAAGCAGCTATATTCTCGTCACCATTCTTTAAGAGGGTAATTGTCTTATTAAAATGATTTTAATTTAGTGTGAAATTCTGAGTTTCAATCCTTTGAACCTATAATTGCAAATTCAATTCAGGTCTAAATTTTCCTCTCAGGCATTTACTCATTGGCTCAACAAGTACTACTCAGATGTGTTGAGTGTAGTCTGTAACTCATCTGATCTTGTGCTTTAGATTGACGCTGAGCCATATAACCCCAAGAATGAGATCAATCTAGAGAGTGAGAAAAAGAGAATCGTTGAGAAGATGTATCAGTATTACAACTATTTGCTTTTGGATTAAAACAAGGATAGAATAAGGAAGGAGAACAACAACAATACTACTATGAATGCTTCAACTAATGTGACTGCTAACAATCTTACCTTGAAGAATCAAACCTCTAATCTAAATTCAACTCGAGATTTAATGCTCAAACAGTCAAAGAGTGAGACTTCATATCTATTGGATAAGACTCATAGAGATACTAATGATGCTAAAGCTTAGGGGAGTTTACTTCTCAAAACTGACACAATTGATGATGAAGTTACAACAGCTTTGGGATTTGTTCAGAAGAATCCATTTAAGCAATGTGATGAAGGAGAGTAGTCCTTGAAACACCCTGATATCTCGATAAGATACTCAATGCATGAACTACTCATGATATTTAAAGTAACTGGGAGATTTGATCATCCTCTTACTAGTATGAGCAGCTTCAAGATGGATGAAAATGACAAAGATGCCAAGAAAATTCTCTGTGAAATCACAAACAAGAAGCCAAATGTGATTCTCAATCTGTTGAACTTTGACCAAGATGAGAAGCCATAGAATGGTCCTAACGGACTCTATAGTCAACGAAGCACTAAAAATCATGCCAGTAACATCCTTTTGGACATCGACACTGAGATTCACTCCTTATCAACCATTAAGATATGATTTAAATTAAAATTTTAGATTAATTAAGTATATAAATTTAACAAAATAGATATTTATTGTACTTTTTCTTCAATTTACCTTACCTTGGTTTCCAAAAATACTTCAATATATTTACAACTCAACCAACTCACATTCGATTCAGCTGCTAAACTTTCATCCTACTGCAAGTTCATTGATAAAAAGTCATTCATTCTATCATCATAGATTATTACAATCTTTTATGGCCTTAAAACTATAAGGCCGACAAAAGTTAATCCACATTAGGAAATCCCTGCTATCTTAAGCTTTCCTCAATTTTCTATAATTTCTCCTTCAAGATCTAATTTTCCTGCTTGATCAGGCTAATTTCGATCTCTTAAGGAGATTGAAGAAAGCTCTAGAGTAGCTTTCCCGGGCTAGGCCTAAGGTCTGGATTTGGATTCAACATTTATTCGATGACTGAAAGGAGTTAACTCGAAAATTCCTATTTTGCTCTTTCATTAAAATGAATATTGTTCTCTCTTAAATCATGCCATTGTGCACCGTTTCTCATTAAATCCACTCCCTCGACTAACTCATAAATAATCATGCCTAAGGCGAAAATGTCAGCCTTGGTTAGGTCTGGGATAGGGATGTTAGGATCCTCATTTAATAGTTCTTTGGCTAAATATCTACAATCCCCCTCTGGAATATCATGCTCTTCGATTATTTTAGTTAGAAGTCTAGCCATTCCTAGATCTCCTATTTTAAAAGTGCCATTTTAGCTTAATAAAATGTTTTCTGGCTTAATATCTAAATGGACAATCCCTTTGTTGTGAAGTTCATTTAGCCCTAAACAAACATCTCGCATGATTTATTTTATTTCTAACTCGGCCATTTAATAACCATTAAGTGTCCTTCTTTTTTTGGAGTATGACCTTAGTGATTCTTGGCAAAGTTCCATCTATAAAATAATTAAATTTGCTATTACTTACCACAATATAGAGATTTTGGTCCTCAATCCATCCACTGTAGTATCTAACAATGTGAGGGCTCTCGAATCCCACTGACAGTGCTGAAAGAGCATATACTTCTTGTAAAAAGCATGTTTTTTCGAAGCCATCTAAACTAATAAAATTATAAAAATTTTACTTCTAATTTTTTTAGCAGTAATTTTTACAGCATACTCTAACTAGTCTAACTTATTTTAACATCTAATCACCTTGCCAAACTAACCCTTCCCTAGAATACCCTTTTAGTTGAAATCTTCTTAGAATCTAGAAGGTGGCTTGAAATTAAAGTCAGAATTAGTCAATAAACTCTCCCTCTATGAGGTATCATTTAAATAACTTGAATGACGATATTCAACCATTGGTGTATCAGGCACTTCTTTTTCATCTATAGAATACTCAGACATTCTTCTTAATCTTGATTAAGCGGCCACCATTTTGAATGGGTTACTCATGTTTCCAGAATTGAGATCAAAGTTGGACTAAGTTATATTCTAGTTTTTATGCGTTGAGCACTCATAGGACGAGGGAACACTAGGTATATTTCTCAGAAACTTTGATTTCGAAGGAGAAATTTAATTATTGAGAATAATTTAGGGGAACTAATTTTGATTAGTGTTTTGTGAAGATTGGAATGATAATTAACTGTAATTCTCGCTTTCATTTTAATTTTATTTTTGCGGTAAGAATAATGGCTTATCTTATTTAGGAGTTGTCCCGCTGGAAAATTTGCCTAAGAAGGCTTGATCGTTTCTCATAAACCTTTAATATATCGAAGGCGAGCTTGTTGAAGAGTTGTCGCCTGGCTCATTATCTAGCTTAAATCTTTTAAAGGCAGGAGTTTTAATAGATTCGCTCTCAGAATTTTAGAAATTTATCTAAGATGACAAGATACTGTCTTCCTTTTCTGATAATTAGGTATCTTACTTAATACGTAATGGTGACTCTTACATGTTCGCCCCGAACAGATTTCGTTAGCAAACAATCATTGACTGAACTTTTTGTTGATTTTCGCTCTTTTCTGATATGAATTAGTTAAAACTTCTTTTCAAAAGGTTTGATGAATTTAGACTTATTCCTTTCACCAAAGGCTCTTTCATCCTTTCAGTAGATTTGTTCTCGTCTCTTAATAAAGGAAATTTAACTCTCGGTGAATTTATAATCTTAGGAGTTCTTTAATCTGCAGGTGCTAATCGGAATTTGTCGTCTTTTATACCAATAAAAAGTAAATTTTCAGTCTTATTTTATTGTCCTGTCTAAAATGGCATGCTTCCATCTTTTTATTAGCTTTGAGATAGAATATTAGATTGCCTAGGGTTTATGCACGGGGACCTCTAAATAATCTTATTAATGAGAGTTTCCTTTAACTACAAGAATTACTGTGACTTTTAAAAAACTGGTGTCTAGGATATTGCTAGATTTTAATTCGGTGTATGAATGTTTTACTAGATAATAGAAGTCGTATTCATGATCACGCTTGGTGATTTGATATTACTAGGGAATAGATTGACGGCCTTCATCTCACAATCAAGATTTTAATTCTCATCGAAAAGCATGTCGTATTGGGAACTTGGATCTGACTATGACTAGTGATTGGTGGAGTCTGTACGCAAGAAGGTTTGGCGCTCGCTCATTGGGAAAATATTTTAAATTCAAATTTACCTCTCTGAAATAATTTATATTTCCTTCAGCTTGTTATATTCGATTCAGAACCAACGGGGTTTTGGGGTTTTGGGGTTTTGGGG